CCAGCCATTAATATTTCTACTAAAGCTGTTAAAGTATTACTGGAAAGTGTTTCACTTGCCTTGATTAGTCGGACTCATCTTTGCTGCGCGGAAACTCAGTCTGACTGCGTTTCCTTGTTGCTATTATTCAAGAACGAAGTGTCACATGTTCTCTCGCAGTTCTTCCTCTTTCGAAAGTAAAAGCTACACCGTTTTCCTCACAGTGCAGGAAAGGAATAGTTGAACGCATAAGACATGAAATAGAAGGTAAACAAAAAACACTTATTCAGAGGTTTTCTCAAAAATTGAACCACACAATTGCACATTTTCGGAAAGTATGACAAGTACACACACTCAGCATTTTATGCACATTAAAAGTGTCTTTCTTCCCACATTTAGCATTTTCATTACACTTTATGAGCAATCAAGTTTTTTTTAGTTTTAATTTATTAAGTTATTTATCTTTAGTTCAGTGTAGTTGGGTTTATTTCCAGATTGGGGTTTCCTCGTTATTATTTTATGTTTTAGTTTAGCTTCTTATTAGACTGAGAGTTGTGTTTCTGTTTTATATTAGTATGGCAGAGGCAAGATTAAAGTTCAGAATAAACACAACAGAAGCACATCGCTTTGTCAAAGAAGGTATCTCACAGTCATGTTTCATATGCCAGAATTCCTTTCTTGAAATTACAAATTCGACCAAGCTGACAAAGTTATTTCCAACAATATTTCCTTTGAGTTTTCATTTGATCTTGTGAGTTTTGTACAGAATGGCATAAAATCATAATTTTAGCTGTAGCTACCCATATTAACTATGAGACTATCATGTGTGCAAATGACAGTTTTCTCTGAGGGTTAGAAATATGGAAATGGAAAACTTGGAGAATGGAAAATTATATTATGGCAATCCACTTATTAGAATTTTATATTTAATTCATTGAAACTAATCAGAAAGGTCAGGAAGGTCATTAAAAATCTTGGAAGTTAATTCTGCAGTTACAGGAATAAGTGGTTCTGGAAAGAAGTGAAGGTCAAAATAAATATTTGACCTGTCAGCTGTAAATGAAAGATCATGAGGTCAGTACGTTGTCTGCTGTTGGATGAACACAGAAAACTGAAAGAGGAACAAACCAAATCATGCATTTCAGTCATGAACATATAAGTTCAAGCAATGGTTTCATGGCACTACATGCTTTTATAGAGTAATTCAGCACCATATAAATAATAATCATTAATGCAAACTCCTTCTGGTGCCAACTATGGCCGAAAAAATACAAACGTCAGTCATTTTCCTACATGAAAATAGTCATGGAGTTAGTGTTGGAGTGATGGTGTTCCTTACTTCAAAAAATATAGAAATATTGCACATTTAGTAGAATAATTAAATTATAAATATAAACACAACAGCCACTTTATATACCTGTTAAACCACTCATTAAAACAATGACTGATTATCAGCCAATCCAATGGCAGCCACTCATTGCATTTAGGCACATAGACAGGTCAAAACAACCTGCTGAAGTTCAAAATGTGAAAATATCCATTGATATTATAGGAAGGAAACAGTAACTCAAAAAAAAAAAATCAGTAATTATAACCAAGGTGTGTAGAAAAGTATTCCAAATCTTTGAATGCACAACATGTCAAGCGGCTGTTATGGCCGGTCTAGGGGTGGGGTGTTCAGAGTAAATGCTTAAGTGTATATTCGTCTTATAGTAGTCTAAGCAAAGCCCATTCCCTAGTCTGTTCACACGATGGGGTAGCTAGCGAGGTTGGTGATGCCGCAGACGTTGCCACGGTTATGTGCCATCAAGATGTATCCCTTGTTGCCCCATTCCTCACCCCAGCTGTGAAGAAAAGACAAAAGATGGACTTGGAAATGACGGAGAAAATGAAATATCACCAGGAGTCAAACAGCATTTCAGCTTATCATTTTGACAGATGACATGAAAACAACAACCAACCAACACTTAATTTTAGTGGACATTTGAGCCACCTGATGCCATTCAGACAAGTGACATGTCCCACCTGTTCTTGACAATCCAGTACTTCTTCCCCTTGGTGTTCACTCCATAGCCTACTGCCAGTACGGCATGATTGACGTCATCTTTGTTACAGTTGGGATCGTAGTAAACACCTGGGTTCACAACAGAGAGAGAGAAAAAAAAGAGTGAGCTGCATTAGTGAACAGTGCATAAACTATGTACCTCGCACACTTTTTAATGTTGAATATAACCAGAAAGTTTTTGATGTGTTATTATGTTTAATTGTTTTACTAGCTTTTACACACCATTATAACTAAATTTTACTGCTGCCTAATTTAAAGTTTATTGCTCAAAATGAAGGTGTGAACTCCATGTTTAGTTTATTTTATTCATATTTAATTAAGAAATCCTGACTAAACAGGCCCTTAAATTCTAGGATTTTATTCCACACACTTTCCTTCCCTTATATGAAGTAGGTGCAGGTAACAATTTCATTTGACCAGACATGAGAAGTTCATATGTTCATATACCATGCTTGTAGAACTGGAAGCTGCTCTGTTGTGCATCGATGCCCACAGACACTGGACCAACTTTGTAGAGTGCAACAGCCAGCACGCGCTCATTACCCACTGGGATCTCCTTGTAGCCTTTGCACTGGGCTGCCATGCCTGATGCATTGTAGCGGCAGGTCTGATCCTGCAGGCAAGACAAAGGAGGAGAAAATGCTAAAACCGTTTGTTGCCCATTTTAAAAGTGTCAATTCTTGATATTAAAGATTTTCAATTTCTACTGTGTGTCAGTACTGACACACAGTGGCGCTAATGAATTAATACATGCTAGGTATTAAGTGAAATATTGGGTTATTATTAGTCAAAAGATTTAGGAATTGCTACTGGAGCTCATGGGCAGTAACTAATAAATACACACACAACACAAAATGCTTTTGCAGGTACCATGTATTTAACCAAAACCAAAGGAAAATAACAAGGAAAGAAAAGGGAAAACTTCAATAAGCACTCCAGCTGCAGCGGTGCAATTAATCAAAAAACCCAATTCGGGTTTATAAAGACAATTAAATAATCCTATACCTTTTATCAAGCAATATAGATTCTCAAATCAACAAAAAATGTTCCCCTATAAATAACACACATCAACATCAAAAACACTGATCCCCTCTGAAAGGGAGAAAGTCCATGAATTTTATCTATGAATTTTATTTATGCAGTGTGCATTAGAGATATCCAAGCACTATTGTCCATAAACGGGGGAATGGTGTGTATGAATGTGGAAACCAGTGTGATTGGATAATCTTTGATAACTTCCTACCAGACCAGTGGAAGTGGAAGCTTCAATGCAGAACGACTTCTGCTCCTTGCCGTTCATTGGCTGGCCATCCTTTTTTAAACCCAAAAAGGGTCACCTGGCCTGCATCAAATAAACAAGGCCAATAAGAAATCACAAGAATATGAAAATATCAGCCAGTTGAGCTAAATACATTAAGTTATTCTTGTTCCTGTGTACACAATTTATAGATAGATAAATAAATAATTAAATAAACAGTATATTTTATCAATAAGAATATAACAAAAAATAGTTCAACTGCTATATACAGATTGTATAGCTTCAAAACATTTGTTATCCAACAAATATTAGTAAACTCAAAACAATCCAATTAGCGTCAGCTGCTAGCACCACAACAGTCCAAAGTTCAAACTCACCAATTCCGTTCTGTTCGGTGTATGACAACACTAGGCGGCTCTTGCTCACAGTAGTCGGTGTCTAAGTCACATAAAGTTATAGTGGTTGTTAAAAAAAATGCATTAGAACGGGAAAGCAAGTGTTTGCCAATACGAACCTCCAGTAACAGCTCTGTCAACTGGCTTGCCTCCACGCATCTGACCGGAGGAAGCCGGGACATGCTTCTGAGCAAAAAATTAAAAAACAAAACAAAAACAAAAACGCCCTTTTGTGTTGGTGGAAAAATGTACCATGTCGACCAATCAAAAAATGATATGGCAACATGACATTTGGTTGTTTAGGAGAAGTTTTGAGAGAGGGA